AGGGAGGCAGGCAGCAGCGAGCTGGGAAGACGGGGCCTTTGCGTGCTGCGACCCGCTCTTGGACTTTACGCCGTACGCAGCCCTCTTGTCGACCACCCCAAGGTTGGCGAGCTTGCGCTTCGCCTACCGCATCGACCAACCAGTTCATTCCTCGCGCTGGTGAGCGCACGAACCTTGGTCGACGTCTCGCGTCGGTGGGTGCGTGGGTCGGGAGGTGTACTGCTGGGGTCGGGGAGGCGGCGCCGGGGGTGGCCGTGGCGGGGCTGCGGAGGGTCGGCGGCGGCTCGGGCCGGGCGGCGGCGGTGCGTGGGGCGGCGGTGATGTGCTGTGGCTGGCTCTCTGGGGCGTGCTTGTGCGTCGCCTCCTCGGCCTGCGACAGCTTGCTCTCGGGCTCCTTCTCCGCCGCCGCGAAGAGCCCCTCCTTCGCCTTGCGCACGTTTGACGCGCGCGGGATGGAGTCGCGCCTAAAACGGAGAGGTCGGCCGTCCGCGGCGGTGCATGAGCTCCTTTTTGTGATGCTCGAGCTGCGTCCGCGCGCCCCTCGGAGCCCGCCGGGGAGGAGCCGGGCCTGCGGTGCGACGCGCAGGGGTACTCAGACCACTGCGTGCGTGCGGGGGCTACGGGTACAGTGAGAACGCAGTGGAGTCCGCGTCCTGCCGCGCGTGTGTCTGGTCAACGGGCAAATCCGCGTTCCGCTTCTAGGCTGCCGGGCGTCGACGCGGGAGAACGGCCCATCGCCTTGTTCTCAAGCTTCATCATCGCCTGTGGACACGCGTCGAGGACGCGTCGCGGAGGTGCCCTTGTAGAGTGATCTCGAGGGCGATCTCGGCGCAATCTCGTGGCGATCTCGAGCGATCTCGGGTGCGCCGCCTTGTCTCGCGCGGTGAAGTTCGTCTTCTCCTTGGGAATGCTGGCCTACGACAGGAGGGCGGGGAGGCCGTGCCGTGCACACAAGAGCCTCCAGCGCGGGGAGGGCCACGGTGGCCGATGACGATCTCGGACGAGGACGATCCTGGGGGCTGCGGACGGTCTCCTGCCGAGTCTCCGCACGGCTGCTGGTCGCGGGGCCGCGCGGGTGGCTCGTGGGGCGGCGTGGGAGTCCGTCCTCTCGCGGGCGCGGATTCAGAGCACCGCGTGACCCACGAGGGGCACGAGAGCAGTGCACACCGCGGAGTGCGTGTGCGTGTGCGTCTCCCCTCGACCGCTGCCTCGACCGCTGGCTGGAAGCCAAGAATGCGGCCGTGCGGCGCCACCGCTCTCTGCGCCGGCTCCGGACGCGGCACGGGCGAGGCGATTGACGCGCGGCGGGGCGCGCTCGCTGCGCGGGTACTCTCGGACCTCGCCCTCCCGCTCGTCGGCCCACTCTCGGGTAATCTCGGGGAATCTCGGGCAATCTCGGGGACTCTCGCGAGGGCGCGGCGGTGGAGCGGAACGGAGAAACAGTCTGCGCGTCGCTCCGGCGCTGTTCTAGGGAAGGCGCGCGCCTTGATGTCCTTTAGGTTGCGCATGGCCTCGGCGTGCTGCGAGCTGCCCTCCACCTATTCACAGCGGGAGGTGTGAAGAGACGCTGTCCACAGCTAGGGGCGAGCTGCGAGCTGCCCTCTCTCCGCCTTGACCCGCTCCAACTTGACCGCCCGGACTCGCTTCTCGTCGCCCTTAGGCTGCTCCTGCTGCTGCCACTTCTTCAGCGCCGCCGGGCCGCCCGTCGCCGCGGGAGCCGGCCTCGGCGCCTCCGCCGCCTCCGCCTCCGCCGCCTGTATCTGAGCAAAGATCGCCGCCCTGGCGTCGGCTGCCTGCGAGGCCGTCGATGCCTGCGACGCGTCCGACATATTCGAGTCGCGGCCGGGCGCCGCCGCCGCCTCCCCCCCCTCCTCCTCCGCCGCTCCCTCCGCCTCTCCCTCCGCCTCGCCCGCCGCCTCGCCCGCCGCCGCCACCGCCGCCTCTGCCAGCCCGAGCCCCTCCACGTACGAGCCAGGGAAGATCCCGACGCGCCCTGGCTCGCTCTGCTTGGAGCCGGTCCACCAGCCTGCGGCACAACAGTGCGAGGGTGTGAGCACTCGAGCTCACGCGCATAGAGGCCGTCCTCGCGTCCGCCTTCCCGGGGCCCAGTGCAGCCTGCTGACTGCCGTCGCTGTCTGTCTGTTCTCGACTGTATGCATTGATCTTGGGGGCGGGTTGTGCTCTGCGTGAAGACGGCAGAACGCGCGTCCTCGTGAGCGCGAGTTGGACGATTCACGGGCCTGCCCTCCGCCTCTAGGCTCTGAGATCTGGGGAGATCGGATCTGCACTCCGCTTCTAGGTTCCGAGATCTGGGGAGAGATGTGTCTCTCCTTCCGCTTCTAGGGCCACCAGCCATCGTCCGCCTTGTCCAAGATGACGAGCACGTCGCCCTCGCCAAAGCCGAGGTGGTCCCCCTCGGTTGCCTCGAAGGCGTACAGTGCCTTGACTAGCTCCGACCCCGCCGCATCGGCCGACGCCGCCTCCGGCTCCGCCGCCGCGCCCTCCTCCACCGCCGGCTCCTCCTCCGCTGCCTGGCCAGTCCCGGCCTCCACCTCCTCCTCCGCCGCGCCGGCCGCCTCTGCCTCGCCGTCCGCCGCAGCCTCCGCCACCACCTCGTCCGCGGGCGCGTCGGCGACCTCACTCCTCGCGCTGATCACCTCCTTGGAGGAGCGCCGCGAGGCGTCCACAGCCGCATCCGCCTCGTCCGCCGCTGGCGTGGCAGCCGGATCGGCGGGGGCCTCACCTTCCGCCTTGGCCGCATCGGCCGTCGGCTCGTACGCCTCGACCTCCTGCCTGGCCTCCACCTCCGTCACCGCCTCCGCCTCTGCCCCAGCGGGCGGCTCCGCTGATGGCTCGGCCGGAGCGGGCTCGGACGGCGCGGCGGCGTCCGACTTGCTCTTCCTTGATGAGGAAGAGGCGCGGCCGGTAGCTGGCGCGTTCGCCTCGGCTGGCTTGGCGGCCTTCTTTGAGAACCAACCCATAGCCGCCGCTCGTGCCCCCGGGAAGCTGAGAGCGGCTCGACAGGAACGAGAGCGGCCCCTGATGGTCGGCGAGCCGCCTTCCCTTCCACACTTTGGCAAGGTCTTCTCCTTTCCACGTCAGTGGCGGCGGCGGCGTAGCAGGATGAGGCAGAGGAGAGCGACGCGACCAGAGGGAAAAGCGACACGAGAGAGAACGACGAGAGTGGGACGACCGCGAGGGGGCATGAAGGTTGCAGCGAGAATCGGCGAGGGACTGCGAAGAGAGATAGAAAGAGGCAGACAGACGCCCAAGGGCGGGCGACGGCTAGCACCACACTCCTCTCCTTAAAATCCCTGTGTGGTGGCGCAAGAAACGGTCGCGATGCCTCGTGTGAACGCTTTGAAGACTCGGTCCTACGGAGAGACACATATACAACACGTATCCGAACAAAAGAAATCTCGTACTCGCAAAGAAAAAAGAAACCCCTCATCCCAGTTGCCGCAGCGCTTCAGCTGTGTTCGCGAACACGACCACTCAGCGTCAAGGAGGCGGCGGCGATGGCCAGGGCGAGAGGCATGGGCGAGGGGTCGGATGGGGCGGGAGCCAGAGGCGCGGGCAACTTTTTTCTTTTTGCCGGCCTTGTCCCGGCCTTGACGCGACCGAGTCGCAGACGACGCCTCCATCCACCGCCGACGCACACGACATGAACGAGTGGACGGCAGAACGTGCGGCTACGTAAGTGCCAGTGCGGTCAATGGGAGTGACGGAGGTGAACGCTTGTGGCGGCGCGAGGCAGTGCTCGTGGACCGCGATCGTCCGGCTCGCCATCTGAGAAGACATCATATTGTGGCGCAAAGCATCGGTCACACCGATACGCCATCTGAGAAGACGCACTAAGTGTGGCGCAAAGCTGCGCTGCCGTCAAGCTGGACGCTAAACGTAGCGCTTCGATGCTGCTCCTGCCCGCCAGTATCGAGGGTCAACGCAGGACGACGGGAATGCCAGGCGGCCACAGCTCAAGCTGTGGCCCGCTCCAGCCCGGCGCTGAGGACCGTGGCTTAGGAGCCCGGCGCTGAGCGACCTGCCCTCGCTGTGATGCAAGGAGGTCACATCGACCGGCAGGCGCTCAGCGCACACCTGGAGGTGGGTGTGTACTCAGGCATTGGCATTCTGTGAGCTCAGCTGCACTGCGACGTCTACATGCTGCGTCCGCCCGGGCACGCTCAGAGAGAAGGAAGCCATTGTGACGCGCTTTGCTGAGTGAGCTCCACGCATGCACGGATCAAGGGAGTGAGGAACATTGATTGGAGCGAGAAACATTGATTTTCAAGGTAAGAGAAGGATCCAAAACAACGCCTCTAACCACAACACTGTCGTTTGTGCCCCGTTTGTGCCGCGTCCCGTGCCCCCGAGTTCATTTTAATCTAACCACACCAGGTGTGTATTGTTTTTGCTTGGGGCGGACAGCATGCCGGGGTAGGTAGGGTAGGTCTGGGCCCTCCCGTCGGGTTTTTCCCTCTCTTCAAGCTGGAATTTTCAAAAAAAGAAATTTTCGCGGAAATCACGATGTCAACCCTCCCCAAATGGGTGATCTGATGCTTGTAGGGCTTGAGAGTGGCCTGCCATGTCACAAGAAGGACTGTGGTTGCAGGAGAGTACCACCAACCATCACTCTAGTTGGTATAGTACCCCACCTTCACCGTCCCGTGATTTCTTTTTTAGTTTCCCATAAGTAAGGTAGGTAGGTAGGTAGGTAGGTAGGGGCACCGCAGGGGCCGGTCAGGTCACCTCTCCAGTAGCAAGAAAGAAAACGCGAACGTTTATCATGTCCGCGGGGTTTGAAAACGAAACGGCGAAACGGGGCCATGTCCGACTCCGAGCCTTAAAATCCCTCGGCCCGCTCGCTCGCAGCGCATTGCAGCAGGAGAGATGTGAAGAGCGCGAGCATAGACACAGAGGTCCACACACACACACAACAGTGTGAACCTCAACCTCTCATCGACCAGCGCTCAGAGAGAGTGCTCGATGATCAAGCCCAAGTCTGTGAATGGCGACTGGCAAAGAGAGGCAAACCGCCTCCTTTTGGCGTTTGCATCGCCCTCCAAAAATAGCAGCGCTCGTGACGTCGGCCAGGCACGATGGGCTCTTGCGGCAGCAAGCCAACCGGGGAGGAGGAGCCTGTGGGCCGCTGGACGGAGCCGAACGCGCCGAAGCAGACCGGGGAGGTGGAGGCTGTGGATCACCGCTGGACGGAGCCGAACGCGCCGAACCGTGAGGCGTTCGAGAGCGGCGAGCTTCTGCACGAGCCACCGCAGTTCGTCCACTTTGACCCTGTGAAGAACGAGGCGAGGCCGCTGCTCATCAAGGAGATCAAGCTGCCCCGCGCGACTCAAACGCACGAGGTCTGCTACGAGCCGTCGACGCGGTGCGTCTTTGTGTCGCAGATGAGCAACTCGACGCTGGTGCGGATCCCGGTCGACGAGCGCGGCGTGCTGGTGGACGACCAGGACGCATGGAGGATGGGCGAATGCGACGCTGCGACGGGTGCTGGCATCTCCGGCCTGCACAACATCTCTCCCTCAAAGGCGCACCCGGGCTGTCTCTGGATGACGCTGCAGTATGCAAACGAGCTGCTCCTCGTCGATGTGCGCGGAGAGCACCCGCTGCGCATTCGGCAGGTCCTCAAGGTGCCTACGCTCTGCACCGATCCCGCCACCGGCGAGACCCAGCGCGTCGGTGGGCCGCACTGCATGCGCGAGTGTCCGATCTCCGGCGAGCTGTGGGTCGGCCTCAAGGGCGGCACCATATGGAGTCGCACGCACACAACCCTTCTGGGTGGGATGAGTGGTCCAGTTTGAAGAGTGTAGGCTCGCTCAAGGACACGCCCTGCCGCTCGCGCGGCCGCGGCGGCCGCAGCTCGTGCTGCGACCCGGACGCAAACGAGACAAACATGGCGGAGCTCGCGCGGCGAGGCCACGACACGCCCCTCCCCGACGGGTGGGCGGTGTGGCGCGTGGCGCCGAGCGAGTACGACCCGAGCGCCAAGGGCGGTCAGGGCAAGGGCGGCAGGCTCTACCCGTGCCTCACCTCGCCGCCGATGCTCGACTTCGACTCGCTCGGCAACGTCTACGTCCCGCAGGACGGGGTCGACACGGTGCTCTACATCGACCGCGAGAGCGGCGAGAGCAAGCAGCTGACGGCCCGGCCTTGAGCTCCACAAGGAGACGCCTGCACGCCTCTCTGTCTGTGACTGCCACCTCTCGCTGTGTTTTAGGTCCCCTTCCCGGCGAGCGGCGCGACGCCGCGCATCACAGGCCCCGCCGTCGCGAGACAGTGGGTCCTCGACCGCCACAGGACATGTCCCCGACACGTCCAGGACACACGCCCCACAGGCCCCGCCGTCGCGACCGCGCCCGACGGCTCAGTCTGGATGACGCTGCTCGGCTCGTCAGCTCTTAGACCCTAGCCCTCGGCCCTTAGCCCTATAGCCCTACCTGGTAGCCCTAACCCTAGCCCTCTGCCCTTATAGCGCCCTTCGCCCTATGGCCCTGCCTGCATGGTAGCCCTGACCCTAGCCCTAGCCCTAGCCCTGTGGCCCTCCAGGCTCGTACAACTCTCTCGTGCGCATCGACCCGCGCCGCGGCCACACGCGCGAGCTCTACGCCTTCGGCGGGCCGCCCTGGTGCAAGACGATCCGCCTGATCCACCTCGCCTTTGGCAGCGGCGGCCGCGGAAACTTCATCTACGCGCTTGCTTCGGACCTCCTCGAGGACGAGGTGTGGTCGGCGGTGCATCGGTCCGCCTAGTTCAGGACACGTCCACGACGCGTCCACACGGCACGTGGCAGGCGGTCGACGCGGTCGTCGTGCTACGGATGGACGCGAGCTCGCCCCCCCCCCCCCCCCCCACCCCCCCCAGCCCCGAACACGCATATGCCCCCACAACTTTTGGGCGGTGTATGTCGGCGGCATCTCGGCGGCATCTTGGCTGTAGGAGAGCTGGGCGCGCTGCCTCGGCCGACGGGTCATCCCGCTGCCGACGCAAGACTGCTCGTGCCACCGCATCGCCGTGGTCGACGCGGGCCCTAACCTCGGAGGGGACGGGCGCTCGATCGTCATCACCGAGCTCGCCTCGTCAAAGCTGTTGCAGGCCCGAGATATACGCACAGTCACTTCACACACACACACACACACACACACACACACACACACACACACACACACACACACGCCCACACACACACACACACACACACACACACACACACACACACACACACACACACACACACACACACACACGACACACACCTCACGCTTGGTATAGATTGTATTGTCCACCCTGCGTGCACGGAGCGACACGGCGTATTGCAAGAAGCTGCGGGAGAAGCGGACCCAGCCTCACATCAGGAGCTTCTTCCCCTGTGTAGGTCGAGTTGCGCCACCTGGTCGACTTCCAGCCGCTCGACGAGTCGGTCTCGACCGACGCGGACGGTTTCGTGGTGCACAGCTACACGACGGGTGAGTCCGAGGCCGGCCACAATTGCTGAGCGCCGGCCTCGTCCTGGGTCCCAAAGAGCGGGAGGGAGCGCCAGAGGCTCCGCCACAGCATCACGCCGGTGGCGGTAGCGAGGGCGTGCGAGGAGCGAGGAGGAGAAAGAGGACGAGATCGTGTGGCGGCGAAGAGAAAGCTCGAGAGAGATAGCGGCACGGAGGCGGCTAACTAAGGTAGGAAAGGGGTGGGGTAAGGTGTGTGGACCGTGAGCCGAGGGTTTCCTCGGGCGCCTCCTTCTATGAACGATGGGAGCTTCTGTGTCCCCTAGCCAATGAAAGGAAGCTAGAGCCGTATCTCGAATCTGAATCGCATCTAACTCTTGTACTAATTTATTTATACGGCTTTATTGAAAACGTCTCGCCAACGGAGCTCCGTGTTGCTCCCAGCGCCACCCCCCGCGCTCCCTGCGGCCATGGTCGATGATCCTACTTCCTAGTATGAGCGGTCATCTGGCTACCGCGAGAGCGACCCAACTCGTCGACATCGTCCGATGATGGTGCCGCAAAGTCAGCCTCCGGAGGCTATCGTGGGGTCGAGCCGGCAGTGGCCGTGACATGTGGTTCCACCACCCCTCGTAGGCTTTGCCTCTCTGAGCCCTGGCTGTCAGGCTGTCAGGTGCTGTCAGGTGATCTGTCGGGCTGTCGGGCAGCTGTCAGGCACTGTCAGGTGCCTCTGTCAGACCAGCTGTCGGGTGCTGTCAGTGCTGTCAGGTGCTGTCGGGTGCGTGTCTGACATCAGAGGGGCTCTGTAGCTGTCGGGTGCTGTCGGAGCTGTCGGGTGTTGCTGTCAGACGCTGTCGGAGCTGTCAGAGCTGTCAGGCTGCTGCTGCTGTCAGACGTTGGGCTGTTGCTGTCAGGTGCTGTCAGGTGGTGCTGTCGGGGTGCTGTCAGGCTCTGACACACACCAGCCACACTTATGACATTATCAAGAGGAGACCAGCAGGACTCTACTGCACACATACTCTAGTCTCTACTCTGCCTCCGGTCCCACCATCTTCGTCATGGTGGACGTCACCATCTTCTTGTCTGCCGCACTGAGAGAATAGCAGAGAGGCAGGCTGGAGTGCTTCTTCATGTACACCTTGCTGATGATCTGGTAGTTGCTTGTCCAGCGGATGGCCTCCCCATCGTTGTCGCTCGTCAGCTTGTAGTACTTGCACGCTCTGTTCTGTAAGCGCGGGCCGTCTGGGGGGGTCCCGTCACCCTTCACCTCACGGTACCACCGGCGGAGGAGGGGACGAGCTCCGGCGTATTTTTTTGGCTTGCCGATGGCCTCCCACCGCATCGGCGCCCGCCTGTCTGGCCTCTCGCCAGAGCAGCTCGTCGCCTTCATCGACGAGCAGGCGCCCCTCTGGAGCGCCGCCGCGCTGCGCGTGGCGGAGGAGCACGCCGCACGGCTCGTGGAGCAGCCCGAGTGGGTCCTCTCCGAGGTCCTCCTCTCGCCGGACCTCGCCCCGCACATCCTCGCCCAGCTGCCGACCACGGAGCACGCCGTCAAGGGGACGTGCCGCGCGTGGCGCCGCGGCTGGAAGGAGACGCTGAAGAAGCGCGAGAGGCCGCGCATGCTCGTGTTTGGCGGCCGTGACAGCTATAGCGAGTTTGTCAACTCGCTGGAGCGGTACGACCCGTCCACAAATGAGTGGGAGGAGGAGGCTGTGGCGCCGATGCCAACGGCACGAATGTATGTCGGCACGGCGGTGCTTGACGGCAAGCTCTACGCGGTGGGCGGCATGAGTGAGGCTGACGACATGACTTCCAACCTGGTGGAGCGGTACGACTTGGCTACGAAGTCGTGGGAGGCGGTGGCGCCGCTGGTGACGGCGCGGCAGGCTCACGCCGTGGCGGTGCTCGATGGCAAGCTGTACGCTGTTGGCGGGTACAGCGGCGACGACGGCCGCCTCATCTCGGCGGAGCGTTACGATCCGGCTGCCAATGCGTGGGAGGCGGTGGCGCCGATGGCGGCGGCGCGGTGTGATCACGCCGTGGCGGTGCTCGACGGCAAGCTGTACGCGGTGGGCGGGCAGGATGACGGCCGCAATCGCCTCAGCTCGGTCGAGCGGTACGACCCGGCTGCCAATGCGTGGGAGGCGGTGGCGCCGATGGCGGTGCGGCGGGTAGCTTTCGGCGTGGTGGTGCTCGACGGTGAGCTGTACGCGGTGGGCGGGCAGGATGACGGCTACAACGTGCTCAGCTCGGTCGAGCGGTACGACGCGGCGACGAACGTGTGGGAGGCGGTGGCGCCGATGGCAAAGGCGCGGTTTTATCACGCCGTGGCGGTGCTGGACGGCAAGCTGTACGCTGTTGGCGGGTGTGGCGGCGGCGCCCTCAGCTCGGTGGAGCGGTACGACCCGGCGACGAACGCCTGGGAGGCGGTGGCGCCGATGGCAACGGCTCGGGACGAGCTCACAGTGGCGGTGCTCAACTGTACGCCGTGGGAGGCTTGAACGACGACGACACCCTCAGCTCGGTCGAGCGGCACGATGCGGCGGCGAATGCGTGGGAGGAGGTGGCGCCGATGGCGGTGTCGCGGGCTGCTGTCGGCGTGGCGGTGCTCGACGGCAAGCTGTACGCCGTGGGCGGCAAGAACGAGGACGAGGAGGACGAGGGCGTGATCCGCAACACGGTGGAGATATTCGACCCGGCCACAAACGCATGGGGGGAGGTGTCTCCGATGGCGACGGCGCGAGTCTGTTCTCTTGCCTTGCTGTAGAGGGCTCGCGCTCGGGGCCGTCCCGTGGTGAGCTATCATGTTAGTCTCTCGCCCCTCATCCCATGCAGCATGCTTCTCTGGTGCCGTGTACGTGTGCGGTGTGTCACGTACGGACGTACGGCTCACAGCTAGGACTGTGTGCACGTGTGCACGTACCGCTATATAGTTCGCTCGAGATAAGATTCGCTCGAGATTTGAATGAAGATTTGGACGGCCTTCCAACCGAGAGAGTTGAGACGGGATAACGCGCGATGAAAAGAAGAAAGCGTTGGGAGAGCCTCCCTCCCCTCCCACCGCATCGGCGCCCGCCTGTCTGGGCGCTAGGGTCGATTCCGCATGGTACGGGACCCCTGTTTAGTTTATGTGTGGTTCTTTTCGTCCGTGCATCAAACAATACATTTCACAACTTTTGAGCTCTCTTGACTACTTCGAGCAAGATCCGCTTCTCAACCCTCGCCACGCGGGCACGCTGAGCCTGAGCCCCCCCCCGCGCCCTTGCTCAGATTGCAGCCGGCGTGCACCAGCTGCGCGTTCTCCGCCGTTGTGCGCCCACCCCTCGCCCATGCCACCCGATGATCGAGGTGCGCGTACGTGCCGTCGTGCAGCCGCGAAGGGTCCAGCGGCTGACCGCAGATGGCGCACGCGCCGAGCTGGGCCGAGAAGCAGCGGAGGCGCAGCGCCTCGGGGTTGGCGAAGCTGCGGCTGCTCGAGAGTGGCTGCGGCAGCTGCGATTTCAGTGTCGCCTTGACGAGGTCGCGCCGCGCAGCGAACTTGGCAACAGTCACCTGCCCGCCCATATCGAGCAGGTCGCGCTCAAACAGGCGCTTGAAGGCATTGACGATGCCGCCCGCACTCTGCGTGAAGGAGAGCGTCGAGAAGTTCTCGAGCCTCAGCTCCGCGAGTACAGAGTACATGACGTCCCACAGCTGAAGGCTGACCGAGTTGGACCAGACCCATTCGTCGCAAGAACGGGAGGGCTCCCACTTGCGGGCAAACGCGTCCTCCGGACCCCAGACTTGCCGCGCCGTCTTGAGGACCCAACAGAACTCCTCCTCCAGCTCACGGAGGGTCACCGGCTTGCGCGCCTCGTCGAGCTCCTCAAAGCTCTCGAGCTCGAGGTTGAGGAAGGTCTTCACAGGCCGAATGTAGCCTTGCCAGCCACGGTTGAAGGCGAAGGCGCGCAGGATCATCTCACGGTCCGACTCCTTTGGGTCGAGGGTGTACGTGCCAGCGCGCGCCGCTCGCGGGTCCCGCACATACTGGAAATCGAGGTTCGTGGCCAGCTTGTCAAGCAGCTCGATGTAGGCACCAAAGTAGGCGGCGCGACGAAGCTGCTGCGCCTTGAGGTCCTCGCCCCCCGAGTTGATGTCCTCATAGGCTGCAAACACCTCCTGGCGCGGCGTGTCGTGCGGGATGATGGTGCAGGAAACGGTGAAGGACTGCAGCGCAAACTGACGCTCGCGCGAGAGGTGAGAGTACGAGAGGCCGTTGAGGTCCTCGTAATTCTCATCGAGCTTCGAGAGCCTCTCGAAGACGGGCGGCTGCCGCATGAGCGTCGCGAGGAAGCTACGGTCCTCGCTTGCCATGTAGAAGCAGAGTAGCGAGGTGAGCCGCTGCTTGCCGTCGACCACATCGTAAACCCCCTTCTCCTTCTCGTGCAGCACCACGCCCGGCACGATGCGGTTGCACAGCACGGTCACCACGAGCCGGCTGGCCCGCTCCGGCTTCCACACATAGTCGCGTTGGTACTTTGGGAACAGGTTGAGCCGTCCCTTCCGCAGCATGTTTGCGAGCTGGTCGAGCTCAAACATCTTGGGCGTCTGACCATACAGCTTGGACGACTCCAGCTCCCCGAGCACGCTGTTGTATTGCCGCCTCTCCACCTGGCTCTCGCCCTTTTGCTTCCGCTTCTTCTCACTCTCGGCGGTCAGCTGCATGGCTGAGAGCTGCTCGGCGCCTCTCGAGGCGGAGATCGCTGCAGACAAGGCCGGCGACCAGCGTTGCGTCGGTGGACGAAGGAGCGCCGCAAAGGGTACGAGTAGTGTGTAAGGTGTCATGAGAGGGGAGGGCGTGAGCACGGCCGGGCCGACCCGGTGGTGACAAGTTTGGCAGTTTGCGGCGGGCCCCTCCACAATTGTTTTAGTTTTAGGTATGTTGTTGGCAAATCAAGACACAGAGCTCACACAGGATCACAGCGGGAGGAAAGCGGCGAGTCGCAGGACAAAAGTATGCGTTTTTGTCCGGCGAGTAAGTTGTTTTGAGCTAGCCTTCGATGGTAGGAAAAAACAAACTCAAGGCGGACACAAGCACATCGCTCTCTCGGACCCCGAGACATACCGCACCCGCAAGTTTTTTCCGACTTGCGGACGCGTCCACGACGACAGGCCCGCAAGTGCAGTGATGGCGACTGCTTCCGCCTGGCAGCACAGCCCCGTGTGGGGCAGCGCGACGGGTACGGCGAGGCATTGCAACTCCGCGGCACAGTTCTCATCTGAGTCGACAAACAGCTGGCAGACGAACCGTGCTAAGCTCTCCTACACAGCCCCCCCCATCTTACCTAACAACGGGACTCCACACTCCCCAGTAAGTAAACTTTCGGAGAGGCTGAGGACGTCGTTGCACCAAGCCCGCTCTGAGTCGACGAACAGCTGACAGACGAATCGCCCCTCATTCACCTTGACAAAGTTGGACGTAGCCGCCGACACGTAGCCGGAGTAGTGGACGCAGGGGTGGCCCTCCCACGCAGTCTCGCCGTCCGCGCAAGGGCGGTGCTCCTCCACCTTGAAGACCGAGATGCCCCAAGCCTGGTCTTTGTCAGCGCCGCACGAGGACGTGGGCTCGAGCAGCGCGATGTTCTTGTGATCCCACGCGCTTGAGACCAGCGCGTCCGCCTCTGTCGCGTCGTTCTCGATGGTCTTCGCGAAGGTTGGTGACGGGAAATCCGGTGCAATTTTTGACCCGCCCGTCTGCGAGGTAAGTACGTTGAACTCCCGAATGCCGGCGAATGAAAGTTGCTGCCGCCGGTAAATTCGCCCTCCCGTTCTCGCTCCCGCCTCTTAACGTCGCGCCTCCCTTCAT